CTTTTTATAAAGAGTATTGTCATACTATATGTTGCATAGACTTTAATTTAATTTTCCAGCTAGCCTTCGAAGAAGGGTGTAGACACCCCATTTTTTACTGCCCTTAAGACTTAGGGGCCTCAGGTTGATTGTTTGAGGACGAAGGCAGGACGATGGCTATGTTGTGCAAATGTTCGATTTCTTCGGCAAGGAGAGTGTCAAATCCCAACCTTACACCCCATTTTGGACCAAAACTATTTTGACCAAAATGATTTTAGACCTTAAAACCCTCTCTTTCAAAATATTTTTGAGAAAATGTTTCTGTCACGCCCCAAACTCGCCCCTAAAAATTTGGGCATGACCTACTCAGAAACGAACACTTAACCTGCTGTACATAACATATGGGGCTTGAACAGAAGCATTAAATATAAGAAAATAACATAAAGTAAAAGAATGACATCCATTGAGCGAACACTATCATGCCAGGATCACAAACAGTGCATCATGTGATAAATATTTACATACACATATACAAACGCCGCCCCTTAATTGGGCAGATATCAAAAGCATTAGAAGCTTAACATATAATAGACAATCAGAGTGCAAGCTAAAACTTAGCAAAACTCCAAAGAAATGATCAGGCTTCACCCAAATGCCTGGACACACAGAGGTTGGCAAAAGAGAGGCGAGCATCGAGGGTTAAGGCTGATCTCCAGATTTAACACCTACAGAATCAGAAAAAATACAGAGTGAGACAATCTCAGTGAATAATAGTACTTAAACAAATTGATGCACAACTTAAAATATAATACATATCTGGTTAATCTGATTCTGTACCAATTTTTAGAACGACATGTCGGTTCACAACTTCACAGATTGGCCCTCGACCTCATAGATTCATAACCTCACAAAATGGCTCTTGGCCTCATAGAATCATAACGTCACAAATTCTTTCGATGTTTCCATAATTTCACACTGTTTTCCGAGTTGCATACATGTTAACATAATTTCTTGTGAAGAATATAACGTCACAGATTGGCTATAGGCCCAAATATCACAGAACGGCCATAGGCCTCACCAATTTCACAGAACAGCCATAGGCCTCACAGATTTCACAGAACGGCCATAGGCTTCACAGATTTCTCAGAACGGCCATAGGCCCAGACATTAACAAATTAGCTTTAAGCCCAGTTCCTTTATGTATGGACTCAAGAGGTGTCTCGCACGGATTCTAGAGGTGACTCGCATTGCAGCACTTAGTTCCGTACATCACTTTGTTCCATACCAGAAATCATTAGGTCTTAAAGACCGAATAATCCATATCATATCATAACATGGCGTAAATGGAACAGATAAACAGAAACATATTCATACATATTTTTAATTATGCTTGAATCATAAACAGAAATCAGAATTTATGTTTGATTATACATAGTACATCCAATAGCGCTAACAAATCAATATAGTGCATACTTGTTAGTTCCATAAAGGAACCTCCGGTACCGGGAACTTGTAACATACTTGAACCACGGTATTATTATCCCCGGGTAAAGGCCTTGTGCTAAGGATACCATGAATACTTTTACATATATGGACAATCATTCATTAATTCAAAACGTAACATATCAAACAATAGAGTATTTCTTGTCATATCATGTCATTACAGTACACTTAGCAAAGGCAGAACATTTTACATCATAATGTGAGTTACATGACAATGTCATTGATATTTAATTATGTCTTCAGGTTGAGCCATTCGTAAGTTAATCCGGTGTTTATCATAATTCTTAACGGTTATTAATGTATAAAACAACCCTTGATCTTATCCAATTATTCATTCTGATGATGCACTCTGGACATATATTTATGCCATACAACATGTGTTGAGCCAAACGAACTATAGTAGCCTTTGATAGGGTAAGTGGGGTTTACATTTACCATTTCTTCCTGTTAACCAATTCCACAGTATTAACTCTCGAATACAGAACACAGTACAACAATTCTCTTAAAACACATCACTCCTGTTAGATTTATCTTTAAACTAATCCAACATTAATAATTCGTATGAAATTCTCATGCGAAGTCATAGATAATTTACAGATTATGGCACATTATCGACAACCATTAACCATAACCGAAATGGAGATTAGTTTTAGAGTCATACCGATGTACACAAGTCTTTCAACGTTCTCATACATTCGCACCGATTTCCAACCAGCATAAATGTTAATATAATTACTTGCAAGGAATAAAGTGTTAAGAATAAGAATCATTAATGGTAAGTAAATGCATGATCTCCATACTACTACTCACAATGCTATAGCGGAGCGCTTGACCCTCCCAGGTTATGACCTACACATGTGCACAATTTATACATTAGTTCTTTTTCTTTCTTTCATTATTTCCTGCTTCATTTAACTTCAAACGAATTTACAGGCATCCTAGGGACATCAAACATAAGTTTCAAAAATACCAGAGGGTTAAGCATGCAAAACGGAGATGAACATTTTTTCCAGCTTGGGTCGCACGTGCGGCTGTGAGCCCCACACGTGCGGCGATTCTGCCCAGCAGCAGTCCGAAATTCCAGCAACACCCAACTTTTGGTAAACTTGTTCAAGGCCCAAAATAGGTTCTTTAATTGATGAAATATAATTCAAAATCATGTGTATAACCATTATGTAATCTCAATATAACTTGCATCTTAAACACTTGGATCTTAAAGTTTATAAACATAACCCAATTCCACAATATTCCCAATTCCCTCACACATCCACACCCACATACACACACATATGCAACCATATATCCATATAGATGGGTTCAAGTTGATAATTGAGGAAATAGGTTGGACCTCTCATTAGATAATTCCACACAATCCAAATCAATTCAATACAAAAGAGAATAACTTAATTAATCACTTAACACAATAATATAGGGGAATTTCTTCTTTATTCAATGAGAGGGTCAATTAGATATGGGTAGACATACCTTGAGTCAAATTCCCTACAATTCTCCTATAATCCTCTAGATTTCCCCAATTTTTCCTTGAAGAACTTTGCTCCTCCTCTCTAACCCTTCTCTTTTCTCTCTCTCTCTCAGGATATTTTTGCATAAAGCTCCAAATCAAATATTTAAGATAATATAGATATATATGTATATATATATGTAAGGGGAATAGGACAAAAATGTATCAATTTAATCATTCTAAATCAAATTTTTACATAAATGCTTGAAGAACTTTGCTCCTCCTCTCTAACCATTCTCTTTTCTCTCTCTCTCAGGATATTTTTGCATAAAGCTCCAAATCAAATATTTAAGATAATATAGATATATATGTATATATATATGTAAGGGGAATAGGACAAAAATGTATCAATTTAATCATTCTAAATCAAATTTTTACATAAATGCTTATTATTCATTAAAAATTATGCTGACCCCAAATGTGAAGTCAATTTCAGATTATCAAGCCTCTAAGACTCTCAATTCTTGATCCAAACATTTTAATTGTGACAGATATTTTCTTATTAAACAGATATGAATCGATAATCATAAGGTTCACTTCATTAAACTTAATTCCACGTGGAATTTCACAATAAGCATATAAATACGCATAACGAGGGACAAAAAATATACTGGGAGCACATGCGAGGGTTGGGTTATTACAGTTTCTACGATGTTCCGATGCTCGATGCTCGCATTTTGTTAAAAATTACACTTTTCGGTAAACCGAGCAAGGACAAAGTGGAAATAAATGAAAGAGAGGTGAAATCTTTGAAAAATATTTCAAAACATCTTATTTAGAGGTTCGGAGTTGAAGAAAATTAGAGTGGAGGGAAGAAAACTAGCTGAGGAGAAGTTAAGCATGAATCTGGTTAGGACCGAAACTGAGCAGTCTTCACTAAAATAATCATATCTTTTTGCACACATGGAATTTTGATGTGAGGCTACCAACATTGGAAAGCTTACTTCTGGGGGTTCAATTTAGATTAAAGAATGACCTACAAAGGAGTTCACATGAAGGAGATATGCACATTTGAAGTTAGACTTGGAGAGTAGATTTTTTCGGTCAACCATTGGTGGAGTGTGTCGGCCATGTAGGGCTGTGCATAATACCGCCAAAACCGAATTGCTCACCGTACCGAATCGTTCCGAACCGTACAAAATTTCAACTCTGGCGGGCAAGTTAGGCGGGTGGGAGGTCCAGCAGTGGCGGGTTGATGCGGGTGGCGAGTGAAATCTCCCAACCCGCAGGTCAAACCGACCCGACCCGCCTATGTTTCAAAAAAAAAAAAAATCACCTGTTATACACACACACACACACAATAATTCCTCCATTAAACCTAATACCCACACATTTCAATTTCATCTCATTCACACACACATTGCCGCTGCTGTGCACAACATTGCATCGTTTCACACACACGGATTCATTGCCATTGTTGTGCTAATCGGCTCACCACTGTTCGCCTATCCTCACTACCACCGCTGGTTTCTCCTTCCCTTGCCGATCGGCTCACCGCTGTTAGCCTTTTCTCGTTGTCATCGACTCGTCATTACTATCGCTACTCTCTCTCGCTCTCTCTCTCTGCTCTTTTCTTTTTTTCTCTCTCTCTCTCTCTCTCGATGCTCTCTCTGTTCTATATACATATATATATATATATATATCCCTATTCTATATATATAACATCAGTGATACTATTTCATAAAGAGGTTATAATAATGCAAGGCTGTAAAGAGGTTATAACATCAGTAATACTATTTCATGAAAAGGTTATAATAATGCTCTTTTCATAAAGAGGTTATACTATTTCATTTGTGAAATTTTGTGCTTAAAAGTTCATATTCCAGACAACCTCACAACTTATTTTTTGTTTTTTTCCCTTTGAATTACAATGCTCAATATTTTCCCATTGGTTCAGAAAGCAGCATGATAATTTTCATTTTTGGTAATCAGTTTTTGTTCAAATATGAGATGGGTAATTGATATTCTGTTCCGACTTCTGTTGTTTCCCCTTGAACATCAGTAAAGACAATACACAGGATAAAAAGCTTCGAATCGGCTGAGAGAATGGTCAATCCAAGAGACACCCCACAAGAGATTGTCTGGGCAGGTCATGTGACACATCCGGAGTCATCAGAGCTACCAATGTTAGACTTAAATAAAATACTAGTCGCTACCAATAACTTCAGCCAACCAAATAAACTTGGGGAAGGAGGATTTGGCCCTGTTTATAAGGTAATCAATTTTTTTTCTTCCTTTTAAGTATGTGATGCTAAGCTTATACATGCACCTGTGATGTATATCTATGTAGTAATTAACAAAGTTTGTTGACCACAGGGAAAGCTAGAAGACGGGCAACAAATAGCAGTGAAAAGACTTTCTAGTCATTCAGGACAAGGCAATGAAGAGTTCAAGAATGAGATCATATTGATCTCCAAACTGCGGCACAGGAATCTTGTTAGGCTTTTGGGTTGCTGCATTGAAGGAGAAGAGAAGATTTTGGTTTATGAGTACCTGACAAACAGAAGCCTGGACACGATTCTCTTCGGTAGGTTTTGACTTGGCAATTTTTCTTATTGAATTAATGAATATAAACAATAATGAAAGTTGCGTATCTTGTTTATTTTGTAGATTGGAAGTTTCATCAGGAATATTTTATATTTTATTGACTAAAATCTGTGTTATTTTTTTTTCCATGAAAACCAATTGTTATGCCAAGTTATCCTACTTGCAAGGATGGATCTAGGGGGGCTAGGAGGGCGGCCGCACCCCAGAAATTTGAAAATATATTATATATTATACTAAAAAAATTAAAATAATTTAAAATTATAGGAGTTTGCACTCTCAAATATTTTTTAGATAATTTCAAAATTATATAGAGTAGCCCCCAATTTTTTAAACTATTTGGAAGCTTTGTTTTTTTGAATTATTTAACATATATAATAATCTATTTTAAATTTCATGTATTTGTATTTTTTAAATTAAGTCACGATGAAAGCAAAATTTTAGAAACTGTAGTGGGTCAAAGTGTAAAATATGAAATTTTACATATATATATATATATATATATATTGTAAAACTAAATGGAAGACTGAGAAACTTTACTGCCTAAGATGATGATAACAGAGCCACTTTTCTGTTAACACAACTGAGGTAAGGATGTCTTCCAATCAAAATTGCAATTCATACTCCAAGATAGAAAAAGTTGAAGAATATTCACATTGAAAAATCTCTTCCAATATGAATTAAAGAAATTAAAAAGGTATGCCTGCTCATCACAACAATGCTGAGAAGGTAAAATGCAGTCAAATGTCACAACGAAGACCTTCGAGCTCTGATCAATTTCACAGTGTCATAGGTTGCAAAAGATTTCTCCATTCATCTTCCCAACAAACTAATATCATGGTAACGCCCTCAAAATAGTAACATTAAACCCATCAGATAAGACATGCATTTACATATAAACCAACCATATTCCTTTATTTCATTGAGTTTCATTACATAAGTATTACATGTTAACATCAAAACAAAATGCCCTACGGGCTTACAGCTTTCCAAGTTAACACTTGGTTTCAACAAAAGAGTACTAACTCGTTTACACATTAAGCCCTTGGCTTGAAGTTTGAGGGCCAAGAGTTACACTCCTTTGAGCTTGTGTGGTGATAAGGAGGGTAACAGTATAGATAACCCTTGAGAATACACTACTTTGCCTCTATTTGCTCTCTATTGCAACAAAAAGGAAGTTCAAGGTAGCAGTGGCCGACGGCCACCAGCAGTAGCCAACCAGCCACCAATGGTAGCTGATCGACCATCAATGAAATTTGCACAGTATGTTGGTAAGGTGAAACAGAGGCATTCTGGGAGTTGGCAGCATTATTGGTGTTGAAATATGTGCAAACAGAGGCGTTCAGTGGCAAGGCGGTGGTTTTGCGGGTGGAGAAACCGAGCGTGCATCCCTCACTTCCCGAGGCCATTTAATTACTTTGTTTAGTTAATTAGTGGTAGCTAGTTAATTAGTTTAATTGTTGCGTACTTAATTAGCTTAGTATTTAGCTAATTACTTCGATTTGTAATATTTAATTAGCTTAGAATAAGTTAGTTAATTCGTTTCAATTGTTGTAATAATTAGTTAGCTTAATTAGCATAGCTAGGTGGTTAGCTCTTATTCATTCGGACCCTCCTTCGCGAGGGCGTAATGTTGTAATAAGTGTGCATACGTGTGTGTATGTCTTTCAACCCCACGTCTTTCTCTATTTTATTTATCGCTTTCGATGGTTAGATTAGGGGCATGTTTCAAATAGCATACCTTATGCTTGCATGATTGCATCCATTCATTTGTCTTGTATGCACCGAGGCTCGGCGCATCATTCAAACCGCATTGTAATTTCAATATCTTCTTTGAATACGTGTTTAATTGCATGTTGTTCAAATCGATTCATATGCCATATTAGTAGCCGAGCCTATTAATTGAATATTGCATGTGTTGCATTAGGCATCTTGTATAGTTAGGATCATGCATTTTTCTAACTAGTTTTTGTTTTGACTTGGAGTACTTGGTGAGTTTTATGCTTTAGCATACTTGCATGAGTGTGATTGCCATATTGCCATGTTTCACATGCTTGCCATGAGGCTATGGGCTTAAATGCTAAATTGCATGAATGTCTGTGGATGAAGGCTTGTTGTTTGAATTGGAACGACTCAACGAATGTGCATTTTAAGCCCACTTTGTTGTGGCAAATCATGTTTTAAGCCCACTATGTTTGGTGGCAAACCCGCATCTTTAAGTCCACTTGAGGGTGCAAATTCAAACCATTTTCGCAAACAAACATGACTTAAAATGTTCCAATTCTTGCGATGTAGTCTATACTTGTATGCGTGCGCATCACATAGTAAGGTTAGATTAATAACCGGAAGAAGAATACATAATGTTTATAAAATATCATATCATGATTAGTAGAGGCCGATCTTTGATCGGGCGAGCAGGGGGTGCTCATTTCAGGATCTTCCCTCTCGTACCCAAGTTCCCGAGCCAAGACAACTTTGGTGATGACGGACACATGGCTGTAGACACCCCATTTTTGACCGAGCTTAAGACTCAGACATCATCGATTGAGCACTCGGTGATAGTGCATGTTGTGCTCGTTTCGAGCTTCGGAGTTTTGGCTGAGAGCCTTGCCTCTGGGTCTCCGAACTCTTTGTGCTTCGGCTCGGTTTGTGGACCAAGCCTTGTTTCCCTTCCCGGAGGGAGGGAGAGGGCTTGTAGACCATCTCTGTGGTCGTAGACTACTTTTCGTGGTCGTAGGCCACTTTTCCCGTTTGGAGACTAGTTTCTGATTTTTGGAGCCTTCGACCGTGCGCCTTGTCTCGGGACCGCTTAACATTCTCCGTTTGGCTTGGTTTTTGAATCACACCTTGCTCCCTCTCCCTAGAGGGACACTATGGTCCAGGAGACCACTTTTGTGGTCGTGTACCACTTTTGGTGCTCGACAACTAGTTTTCGAGGCTCCCGGCTGCGCGCTTTGCCTCCCGAACTCTCGTCTTGCATCCGTTTTGGTTTGTTTTTGGTAAAAATCTTGTATTCCTTGTTTGGAAGGTGGTACAAGGGTGGGAGATCAGTTTTTCCCCTTTGAGACCACTTTTCTTCTCGCCAGCCGGTTTCTGGTCGGGAAACTGGTTTTCTTGGTCTTTGGGCCACATTTTCTGGTTTCCCACCATACCATTGGCTTGCTTTCAGTGTGGAGACCACCAATTCCCCCTGCCGACCACTTTTTTCTAGGAGACCACTTGAAGTGGTCGGCAGCTCTCCCCCTGTTTTGGCAGACTGTGTGGATGCCAGCTGTGCCAGCTGGAGGGCACAGACTGTATCCTCCACATTGCATCCAAGTTTTAGCTTCTCCAAGAAGCTTAAACCTTTGTTTTTCTATAAGAGAGGCTCTCCCTCTCCTTGGTAGAGGTTCTAATTTTTGCTGAGAGCATAGGCTTACACTCTCTCTATATTCCTCTCTTTCTCTCTCTATATTTGTGCATTGCATCACATTTGTGCACCTAACCTCCTAACCAAACACTCTTACCTTGTTGCTGAGTTGCTGGAGGGTTTGTGGGAGCTCAAAAGTTGGTTTTGGCTCAGGAAATCTGCTGGTTTTGCAGTGCTTCAAGGGTAACCCTCTTTTTCCCTTTTTAAGCTCTATTTTGATTACACTCTTAGCCATATTTGCATGCTTCTCTTGGCTTAACATTGAACTACAAAAAGCTCTATTTTTCAGTCCTTAGCATGTTTGTTTAAGGCCTCTTGGGCGTTGAGGGTCTTCTACCCTTTTCTTGTTTTGTGCCATGGCTTAAGGCCTTTGGGTTAGTCTTTGCTTGGCCTTTTAGCCACTGAAATCCAGTGAATTTTCAGTGGTAGGCATGTCATTTTGAGGCCTTAAATCAGAGGGGGGTGACCCTCTCTCTTTTTGTTTTGTTTGCTTGAGTTATTGGCCTATCAAATTAGCATGCATCTTCATACTTTCAAGGCTTGGTTCAGGCACTTTTTTGTGACTTTTAGGGCCTGCCTTAGCTCTGTCTATGCCTGGTTTGGCCACCTTGTGTTTGCTTCTTGTATGTGTAGTGTATTCCCATTTGTGGCTCATTAAAGTAGCATGTCTTTCTAGCATGTATTGGCTCCATTTCAGTAGATTTTTGGCCATCATTTGACATGTCATGACTCTATTTTTGGCTAGTTTGGTAGCCTCTTACATGCTCCATATGCTTGTAGTGTAAATCTTGTTTACTAGCTTTATATGCATGATGTTTTGGCTCATTATCCTAGCATATTTTGGCTATGCTCTAGCATGATTCTGTTCTTATTTTGGGCTGTCTTAGCTCTGTTTTGAGGCTTCTTAGTCGAATGAGGCTTGTCATGCATGCTTGTAGTGTAATAACCTTGACTAGCTTTGAATTTTGAGGTCTCTTGCATGCTTAACTTGAGGTATTTACATGTTTTGGCATCATTGAGAATGATATCTAGAACTTAGAACACAGGTTGCTTCTCTATTCTGTAAACTAAGATGCACTACAAATGCACAAATTCTAGAATGTGGTCTAATTAGAGTTGGTAGTATTAACTTTGTTGATTGATATATCAATTTCTTATGTAGTAAATGTTCTCTTCAACTTGTTGAGCATAAAAATTAATTTTATCTTTCAAACACACACAACTGTGGCACTGCCTTGAGAGGCACATGCTGACACACATAAATATAGTGGTGCATGGTTTTACTGTAATATTTATTTGATGATTTGCCTTGTAGCAGATGTAGCCATTTTCAAAAACCACCCCCACCCCTCCCCCTTTTTGGGACAAATAGCTGAATTTGAACATTTGTTTGCCTAAGTTACTAAGCTCCTAGTTCTGCATTCCTAATTTTAATTTTCTGGCATTCTAGCATTTTATCGGTGGCAGAGTTATTATCGTTAGTCCAAACACGAGAAACGAGGGACGTTTCATACTCGAAGTGATGAAACGTGCCTCAATTCTCGGTCACCGACACTGTTGACTATACATGATGGAGTTTTAGGCTTTATGTGTTCGTGTGTGCATTCATTTCATATTGAGTTGTACAACTTGGGCTCCTCGGCCATCATGCATCGAGATGCGTGATTGATGACCTGAGGGTCGAGAACCATACTCCCTTGAGCTTACGTAATGACAGGGAGGGTGGTTTTGCATACATGTGTTGCAAATACTTTGCCATGCCCCTTTCTTGCTCTCTGTTGCAGCAAACCAGAAACTAGTAGCACAAACT